AGTTGGTGGTTGTAAATTATTTGTAGTTGCTGGGAGGTTCACAGAAATCGACGTGTATGACGTGCGAATTTACGAAAGACAAGGACAAGCACGGACAGTGGAAGAGTATGTGGAATGTCACGAAGCAACTTTGCAAGTCCACGAGGAAAACAAAATCACATTGATGTGCGAGGGTCGAAGACTTGAAGGCTGGTCTGCTTTCGTAACCAACTTTGAAAGCATGCGTATTCCACCTATCTCGGCGTGCATGCTCGACGGCTCGAACGATGCGACGATGTGGATTCCCATAATGAATGCAACAAGTAGGAGCCGTAAGTAATATGATAATAAGCAAACGTAATAGTATGAACGAGAATAATTATTAAAAGATGATAAGTGGCTAAGTAATAGACATGGAGCGACAATGACAGACGTCATTCACATGTGGACAAATTTTGAGTTGTTTGTTGCAACTGCAATGTAATAATTGTGACGAACTCGTAAAAATATGATATGATTATCAATTTTCTGACTAAAAATTGCCTTGCGGATCACATCTATTTATCAATTTTTAAGTTAGTTGTTTCATTTGCAACGTGCGTTGGATGTTATAATGTGTTGTGCGGGCGTTTTGTTCTCACGTGTGGCAAAAAAAAATAGGACTTGCAGATGAAAAACGCATTGACAATCTTATTATATTACCATAACGATGCAAATTTCAGAAAAAAAAAACACAACATTGCTGATGAATCCATAGCAAACTAAAACAGAAATGTTTAATTGATGCCTTTTCCGATCGATTTAGCAAAAAAATGTTGAAAATGTTAATAAAACATTCAGTGAACGTCGATAAAATGATTAAAAAACCTCAAAAATATTAAAAATTTTAACTACGTGCACTTGAAAAATATCACAATATCTGAACAAACGTTGTTCAGGACCAAAAACTAACCATTTTTGGCGGTGTAATTCGATAATTAAACCCATGGTATCCTATATACTGCGGTACTAAAACTGCTAGAAAATGAAAAAATAAGGGGGAAAAAAAGGAGTTTCAATTTCGTTCAAAAATTAAAAAATGAAATCGTAGTTACATGATGTGGATGTGAGATGACTTGTGAATATTTTTGTATAAGCGACGAAATATTGTCGAATAAATGCATTACTGACCGTGACTTCACGTAAATGGAGACCGAACTTTATAAACTGTTACACTTTTATAAACCATGTAACAACATTTATTTAGCAGTATGAAAAAAAAAGCGAAAAGGAAAAAATAAAAGAAATAAAATGCGGTTTATTTTTAGCCATAGTTCAATCGAAAAAATGAGAAAATAGGCTTTATATAGATTTAAATGAAAAAACACATGAAATATACTGAAATCGGGAATAAAGTTGTGTGGAAATTTGACAAATCCTACATAAATTATAAAAAATTATTCCAAAATTACAAAGTTTGCAGTGGAATATAACAATAGTCGCCAATAACAGGTGATTCCTTCGAATAATCGAGAGAAAACTAGTGGCTTATTGACCGGAAAATTTCATGGTATCCCCTGAATTTGATTGTTTTTATATATGAAAAACATGATAAATCGCTTCAAAAAAGGACTTTCAATTTCACGCAAAAAATAAAAAATGTCCGTTTTGACGAAATCGCAGTTCTTCTTCCTCTTGGTTTTGCTCTTCTTCCATTCAATACCGGACAAAATGTTCGAATGTAGAATTCTTCAACCGCCACCAACTCATCCTTCCCTCATTTGGCTATCGGCATCGCTACATAGATCATCCAATCTTTCTTTCTTAGCCATCTGTACACTTTGTGGTCTCTCCCGTTCTTTGTCTGCTCCGTTGCCCTCTTGTGCTCTTCCCATTGCTCGTTCAACGTTTGGCTAGTTTGTCTGATGTACATCGCCTTGAAGTACGGTGATACCAATGCATAAACGCATGCTTCTGGGTTCCGAAACCAGTCACCCTCCTAAGTTTGCCACCCGGATGCTCCCTTGAGGAACTTATTCAACCACTTGATGTTGTCTTTCTTCGTCATCTTCACAACTTCCAGTCCCAACTTGTGATCGATTTCACTCCGTTCGCCTTTGTTCCCGTTCCTTCTCGTTATATTGTGGCTTTCCTCGTGGAAGCTCTGGCAGGGATGTGACAAGTCTCGTCCCTCCTCATTAGTCATCAGTCTCGCTCATGGGCAGTCGTGCTGACCTGCTCTGTAATTCTCACCGGATCCGCGTCCTCTTGTTTGCCATATGCATTGATGGCCCGCTGGTCAGCCAGCACATCAATCATATCTTCCTTCCTCCAGCTTGCTGGCTTCAGTCTTTCGCCCTTCCACATCTTCTCCCGTTGTTTAACGTTCTTGTTTCTCAAGTGCCTCTTGGTGTCGTCGATGAACTTCAGTCGTCCTTCCGGTCCTGGTCCAGCAGCCGCTGCTTTCCTTCCTGGCAGTATTCTGTCAAACCCCAGGGGTTCTACATCCTCCTGCTCTTCTCTTGGTGCTCTTGCCTTTGAACCAGCTGGCCTAGAGCCCCTGGAGCCTGTCTCGAAGCTTCTTTCAAAAAATAAAACGGAAAAAAAGATAAGACCAACGAACGTCTCACGTATCCAGTGGCCTATCTCAATTGGTTAGGCATGCAAGTGGCATTCAGGAGGTAGTGGGTTCAATCCCCATGGCCGCCTGTAGCACTCTTGGTGTCAGCCAACTGAAATAGTCAGCTGGATCCTCTAGGTATTAATAAGGTCTACAGCCAACGGGGGTGTGAGTGCGTGTGTTAGTGTGTTGTGTGTGGTGTGTGGGAGAGTGTTGGCTTTAGACACTACTGTCAGTGTGTTGTGTGTGGGAGAGTGTTGGCTTTAGACACTACTGTTACTCTATGGGGGTGGGAGAAGATGAAAAAGGAGGCACAGTTACTGGCAACGCTCTGTCCTTGTGTTAGCCGGGCCCACACCGGCGGCTCCAACCCTGCACCCTAAACACGCTAGGGCACAAGGCATATTTTGAGTTCGCAAAGGCAGAAAAACATGCTGTCGGCCACTTTGTCATGGCCTGAGTTTGAAAAGGTGGTTGTAACTCAGGCCGGCAGTGGTGTCAGGGTGACGGTTTTTTTTTTTTTTTTTTTTTCGGCGAAGATGAAAAGGGAGGCACAGTTACTGGCATTGCTCTGTCCTTGTGTTAGCCGGGCCCACACCGTTGGCTCCAACCCTGCACCCTAAACACGCTAGGGCACAAGGCATGTTTTGAGTTCGCAAAGGCAGAAAAACATGCTGTAGGCAACTTTGTCATGGCCTGAGTTTGAAAAGGTGGTTCAACGTGTAACTCAGGCCGGCAGTGGTGTCAGGGTGATGGTTGATTTTTTTTTTTTTTTTCAGCCGGCAGTGGTGTCTGGTGGTTGTAACTCAGGCCGGCAGTGGTGTCAGGGTGACGGTTGATTTTTTTTATTTTTTTCGGCCGGCAGTGGTGTCAGGGTGACCGGTTGGTGGTTGAGGGCCTCGTTCCACTACTAGCCGTGGTGGATGTGACTTCGTTCCACTGCATCGCCAATAGCCACTCACTTGGCCATGTGTCGCCAAGGCTTTCCATTTTGCCTGCCTGCAACGGCCCTTCGTGGAGGTGCTACTCCTCACCCCTCCGCGAAATGCTTCGTGTGGCCATTGCCCCTGACACAGCGGTCCTGACAGTCTACCTGTGTTGTCCCGTAGTGTTGGGCAGTTTTCGCTGCACCTGGAGTGAATTCCAGTCCGAGTACACCGCTCTCCATCCGCCACAGTCCGGGGAGCAGGAAGGGACAGCAACCACAGCCGCCGCCAGAAACATGCACTCTTCAGCCTCGCCAAGTCTGGCCACTGTTTTTGGCGGATGGCGAGTAGTGGAAAGAGGCCCTGAGTTTTTTTTTGTTTTTTTTTTCTGGCATCATTTTTTTCTTTTTTTCTTTTTTTTGCACGGCCACTGCTATGTCTAGGCCACGCGCGCTGGGCCACTAGGCCACACCCGAGGCTGGCCACGGCCGTGATGGGCCACAGTCGCGGAAAAAAAAACAGAAAAAGAAAACAAGCCGAAAAACAAAAACGCCCCCCCCCTCCAAAAAAAAAAGCCACAATAGCCAAACTGCCACCCTGAAACCACTGCCGGCCTGAGTTACAACCGCCTTTTCAAACTCAGGCGATGACAAAGTTGCAGACTGCCTGTTTTTTCTGCCTAGGACAAACTCCGCTCACGTGCTTGTCCCTTTTATTAGGAGTAGGTTCCCTGCTGCTAGAGAAGTGGCAGGTGCATGATATTCACGTGGACGGTATCCGACAGGTGCGAGGAGCAGAAGAGGCATTCCAAAGGATCTCGCTCCACCACTCTCGAAATGTGCAAGACCGCCATGGTTTTTTGTCTTTTGCGCATGTCGAGAGTAGTGCAACGAGGACCAGCCTTCCTCCTTTTTCACTTTTCGACACCCGACACGTGGAATTGGGCCGACTTTCTGTTTTTTTTTTTTTTTTTTTTTTTTTTTTTTNATATTGCAGTTACCGCCAGACACTGGCGGGGTAGTAGAAACACGTTGAGGGATGGTCGCTTGCTTTGTGGATGAGGGAGTTTCCTCTGTTTGGTGGATGGGTCCTGTGCGCGTGTTGCAATTTTTTTTATTTTTTATTTTTTAATTTGGACCATTTCTCGATTTATGCGTGTCATCCTTGCGCAGGGGCCATGCTAATCTTCTCTGTATCGTTCCAATTTTAACGGATGTCCCGAAGGACGGCTTTCTGGTTTCTCTTCCCCTAAATTTATTTGATCGGCATGTCTTCTCCACACTGCCGCAGTGTATGCCTCTAGGCTGCTTCCCTACCCGACCTACCCGAACGGAGCACACCCCCACAACGAGTCTATCGGACCAGCACCTCAATTTACAGCAGTTGCATGCTTTTTTTGTGATCTTGATACGCTGTGCTCGCGAGGGACAGAGGCAAACTTCACCTCGGGCTGTGAATAAAGGTGCATCAACGGGCACTCAGCGTACAGTGCGCTGCGATCTGCTAAGTGGTCGCGGTGGTCTTTGGGGATCGCGGGGGGGAGCTGCGAGAAGTGGCGTCCGCTATCTCTTTTTCCACGGCATGTAAGCCGAGAAGGAGCTCAGGGGGCGACTCCAGGCGAACAGCTCACGGAGCGGCGAGGTGGGGGGGTGGGTTATCTGCTGCCATCGTCGTAACAGCTCATCTGTTGCTGGGCGCGCGGAGACAGGAGCAAGGTGAGACGGAAGGCGAAGACGAAGAGGATCAGGCACAGACTTTTCCAGTCCGTGTCTACGATGGCGGCGATGGTGGTCCTGCTGTTCCTGGGGCTTTTCCAGCTTGCCGTTCCTGGACTTGCTCAAAGTCCGCCATCTGGTACGGTAAAGATCCAGGGCTTCACCTATGGTGGCACTGGCTGTCCGCCTGGCAGTGCCGCCGGCGCAATCTCCGCCGACGGAAAGGCGCTCACTTTAATTTTCAGCAACTACACGGTGCTCACCCTAGGAAATCCAGCCGACCGGCGGAAAAATTGCCAAGTGGCCGTCAACCTGAGCTATCCTGTTGGGTTCACGTTTACTCTGGGGGCTGTGACATTCCGCGGATACGCCAGCTTCGAAGAAGGCGTCACGGGTGCACTGGCAGCCGCGTACTACATGTCAGGTGTTCCAGGGACAGTCAGAGTCTTGCACAACCTGCCACCTCCCGCGAACGGCGACTTTGAGATCACGGACCAGTTCGCACTCTTTCTCTTTGCACAGTGTGGCGAGTCGACGGTGATGCTCAATATCAATTCCGAGGCAAGAGTGGTGGCTCCACTCCCGCCGAACAATAACAAAAAGGGCCTGATCACCGTCGATACTCAGGATCTGAAGCTCGAGCAGCAATTTGGGTTGAGATGGAAGAGTTGCTAAGGGCATATACTCGTACCACAGCTTTTCTGGAGCATCTGGCGGCAAATGCAGCCAGCCAGATCCACTTCAGAAAGTCGTAGCGTGAGGATGCCCTACGTGTCAACAACTGGGCGGGCGGTCGTTCGACATCAGCAAGATACGTGGAGAGAAGCAGAATGAGCGACCGGGAGCGGATCGAGTTCGAGATTTGTGGATCAATCTATCGGCCGCAGCTGCATTGTCAGGGGCACGCGGTCAGCTAAGAACTGGAGACATCACCGACACAGGCGATCGGACGTGTGTGTGTCCGAGAGCACTTAGCTGATGGAGCTCAATAGGAAGCCTAGAAAGTTGTGGAACTGGTCAATCAACGATCATTATAATTATTTATAGTACGTACTTAATGTCGGGCAGGCGAGCGAGTTTCCACGTCATGTAATTTCGAAACCTGGAAAAGAATACGCTGGCATGTAGCACTTCCGGCGGTGGGGAAGACCCCAAGCCGAGTGCGAGAACTGTTGCGTAAAGATGAAGTAGACGGGCGTAGCGAACAGTAAGGCAGGCTACCTAGTGCTCTCTCTCTCTCTCTCTCTCTCTCTCTCTCTCTCTCTCTCTCTCTCTCTGTGTGTGTGTGTGTGTGTGTGTGTGTGTGTGTGTTTCTTTAGTCCTTTTGGTCGCGTGCTCGCTTGCTGAATGTGTGTTTGTGTGTGCGACGCACATCTTCAGAGACTCAGTGTGAGTCGACAGAAGGCGCTCAGCGTTGCAGTTAAATTCAGAGGGAGAATCTCGACCGTGGAGGCACGAAGTCGGATATTAGCTTGAATATGATCTCTTCTCGTAAAGAAGAATCGTCTTTTCCAATGAATTCCTGCATATTTTCAATTTCTTGAAATCGGTGCATTGTTCGCCTGTATCATCGTGTTTGCGTGTCCCCCCACAAACTGTCATGATTGGAGTGCGTCTGTGCCTAACACCAGTTGTTGCCACTTGTTGGTTCCCTTGGAGTGTATGATTTGCTCTTCCCAGAAATTGGTATGAGCCTTTTTTTGTGTTTGCCCTCGCTGGTTCTCGATCTCATGGGCCTACTGTCTCTCAACGTTTTCTTAACGAACAGACACTTAGGTTTGTACTCGCTTGTGCTTGAACGCCCGGCACGTAGAGTAAATGGAATTCTCCGCCAGGAATATTTTCGATTTCCGCAGAAAAGATCAGCACGCAATCTCTGTTCCTGATTTTTCTTATTCGTCTTCTATTCTTCCTATTCATTGAATTTCGTACCTGTATTTTCTTTTTACGAAAATTTGTACCCCTGAAAGAAGCTCTCGTATATGCTGAAATACCGCCAAAATGATGTGGGAAGATGGCAACACCCCTCTGAAATTTCAAAGGAAAATTTTCAGAAGCTTGTGAAATGCCCTCTTGGATTTAAATCTTTGCGATCTACCCCTGTCAGGTGGAGGTGTAAGTCTGCATTCTGCCCCTGACAGGTGTATAGCACAAACACGGCAACCCCGTGCCAACGGTTTAAATTTTAAATCGAAGCAAAAGGGCATTTCACAAACTTCTGGAATTTCACATAAACGCCTCTGTGCAAGGATGACAGTCATAAATCCAGAAATTGTCCAAAATTTTCAAAGCGGAGAGAAAATTCAGAGGGGTTTTCCACTCTACCGTCATCTTTTAAAGGTATTTTACGGCATACGTGAACGTTCACGGATATTTTCCAACTTCTTCCCTTTTGCTTTCCTGAAGGACTTTTGTAGTATTATAAACGAGCCCAGCGCTCAAGGCAACAATCAAAACATCAATCGAGTTCCAACAGCGACCGACACTACGGGACGTAGGCCGGTATATTAGATTATGATTATGATGTTGGTTCACACACAGTGGTGACTCACACAAAGTAGTGAAAGCACACAGTGTAGAAGAACACTCAGTCACCGTAGTGACAGTACAGTAGACAAGTAGACGATGACAAACCAAAGGGTTAACCTCAAAAACGTTCCAACACACCCGAGCAACACGCCGCTTTCCACGATCCGCCCCGGGCTTTAGTTCGCCGTCGTCACGGTCAACTAAACGACTGGACGTCGGCCGGTATAGCCATGGACATTATCTCCTCTACCAACAACTAACATCGAACGGGTGATTACACCTCGGATTCTTCAACAGGTTAGACAGTAGATGGAACTCACAGAGCTCTACGTGAATCAGAAGTCCATACATACATGGAGATAATTATAGTCTAATCCAGTTCGTCCTTGGTCCATTCTTATCGAAAAACTTTGACATCATAGATTACGAATCCCCCCGACAGCCAGTCGCCGCTCGCTTTCATGACCGCGGTGGCCGCGACTTGGGAATTGTGGATTGAGGTTGGGGAACCCCGACCCCACCCCATACAAGAAAATATTGAAAAAAGTTCAAAAAACGATATTTTGGAGGGTAGGGTTGTGGGTGGAAAAAGGGGGAAAAAAATAATAAAAAAAATCTTGATTGATTGATTGATTGTGTGCGTTTGTTTGTTCTATTGATTGATTGATTGGTGGGAGACGGGTCGACACCCCCCGCACATGTGCACACACACACACACACACACACACAGAGTAAGTACCCTCTGAACGTGGCGGGGGCCCGTGAGGGCACACTTAATGGCCGGTCACGGAGCCCCCTACCGGTGATGACCGGCTAAACGGTGACAGCGCTGCTTTTTTTTTCCCCTTAGTGATGAACGGCCAAACGTTGACAGCGCTCTCTTTTTTTTCCCCTTCAACGGCTCACCCCGCCACCGTGGCCACAACCCCCCCAACGAAATAAAAATAAAATAAAATAAAATCGAAATAAAACAAAAATACTCATGTGCATTCCCTGAATTTTTTTCTTTTGTAATTAAAAAAACGGAAAATTTACGAAATGCCCCTGAAGTTTGCGTTTATTTGTGGCGTGCCCCTCTGACGGCCAACTTACCTTGTCGCGCCCCTCTGACGACGAATGATGTTTCCAGAAAACCCCTGGCATCGTTTGGGCCTGAAATGTGTTTCATATGCCCCTATTGGTACAGTACCAAATTTTCAGTATGCCCCTACCGGAACCAGCACAAAAGTTTCCCATATGCCCTTATTGGAACCGTCCATCTTTCGAGCGAGCCCCTGTGGCTGTTGTTGACACTTGCAGTCTTTCCCCTGGCCCAGGGAGAGATGCTACCGGGGCATGTCAGAAATTTGGCAATAAGCATGGACACACACACACACACAGGCGCGCACACACACACACACACACACACACACACACACAACACACATATACACACACATGTGCACACACACGTGGGCGCACACACACACACACACACACACACACACGCACACACACACACACACATATACAGACCTTTTTTCCGTGGCGCGTGGAATGCCTACCACATTGAATTCAAATTCCTGCCAGCACTGCTGCAAGGGCATCACAGAAAGAGGTGTGCCCCTCGTGAGGGCATTTCAAGGACCGACTGACGAAATGCCACGAGCGGTCCAGTAAGGGCATATCGGAAAGTTACGCCCCATGCTGACAGGGGCCTGCAGAAAATTTCAGAGGCCCGAGGGGCACCACAGGGTAAGTCGGCCTTCACAGGGGCACACCGCAAATAAATGCAATCTTTGGGGGCATTTCAAAAATTTTCCCTCGAAAAAAAAAAAAAACGTGAAAAACAAAAAAATGGATGGTTTGTGAAGATTCATGGATGGAGAGAGAGAGAGAGAGAGAGAACCGGCCGACATTCCAAAAAGACTGGAGGGAGCGCTTCGCGCACGTGCGGCAGGACATCGGCGCTGGGCCATACCGTGCCACGAGTTGACACGGGTAGTGACCTGACCCCTGGGAAGGGGTTCCACGTGTGGACTCTGCGGCCGCCACGTTTTTCGCCACGTGGCACGTAGGGCCGTTGCCAGCAGAGTTGAGTGGAGAGAGTCAGTGACGACGCCGAAGTGCGAGGAGAACTGGAGAGTGGAGCTTGTTGTGGCGCCGAATCGCGCAACAGCCAGACGAGACAAGAGGCAGGCAGAAGAGGGGCGAAGCGAGGAGCGATTGGTGCCACAAACGCAAAATCCTATACGGTAACAAGAGAGCGGCTAGGGGGTACAAGGGAGATTACACGGAGGGCTACCGCGAAAGAAGTTGGGGCTCTGGGGCAGGGTGGTGGGATCAAGGAAGGGCGAAACAGCACAAATACGAAGAGAAGAGAAATTCGGGAGGGGGGCAAGGAAGGAAGGGTGGAGTAAGTACGAGGCGAAGAGGACCTGGGGAGCCCGATCGAGCAGGAGCCAACGTGGCACAGGAGAGTCAACGCGATTCTGCGTGAAGGTGGAAGCGGGGAAAGGGAACACGAGAATGAAACGGGGCGGGATCCAGGATTAAGTCAACGGTGGAATCGTCGATCGAGGCAAGATTGGATCCGGAGACAGACACCGGCGGAATCATCACACGGAATTGATGCAACCCCGAAGGGATCGAGACGTGAGATTGGTGCACCTGGTCGGTACCGCCTGATCCTCCCTTACCCCCCCCACCTGTCGCCCCCCCCCTTTTTTTGTCCTTTCCAGCTGCCATCCTCCCGTGCCCCCGGGACCCGTCAGCCCAGCCAGCAAAAACAATAAATATAAAAAACCAAAACAGCACAAGCAAAGGTTACACCAGGACAATCTAATGGAATCGCAACACAGGATGGCCAGGGGAGTCGGGCCCCTCATCTTCCACCGGGGAGCTATGAGGCACAGCCCAAACAGGCACCTGGTAGTGAACCCATATTCACGCCCGGCGGGGAGCAGACCCCTCACACAACCATGTCAGAAGCAACCAGCCTCGCCCCCCCCGGCGTACTCCCCCCCGGACATGTCACAATCCGGCCTCCTCCAATGGACGTGCTTACTAAGGACACCTGGTGCCGGGTCCGCCATGATTGTGGAACATAAGGGTTCTGATCTGACCCCCTCACACTCACACGCCCCCCAGGACCACGTGATGGGGCTACCGGCCGTCGGCCAAGCGGACGAAAGCCAAAAGGAGGTGAACATGGCAGACAAGGAGGAGAGTGGAGAGGAGGTGGACATGGTAGACGAGGAGGAGAGTGACGCGGAGGGGGAGATATTAACAGAAGAAGAAAAGCGCACTGAGAGGAGGAAACAAGCACACCAAATTGAACCTGGACAGAACAAGAAAAGGAACGACTCCACCCCCATATGGGCACAGAGAGTAAGAAGTACAATCCAGGAAAAGAACCTCTTAATCAAACGAAGCCCGCATGATGCACAGCCAGGGACAGAGGAAACCCTCCAAATCCCTTTCCGCAACCTCTCGTCGGCGAGAGCATATTTCCTTACCCTCTTCCTCCTCCCCTCGGATAATCTGCTAGTGGACCAAGGGGGAAGGAAAACAATGATGCAATCTTACCCAAAGGATAAGCTCGAAGAGAGAAAGGACATCTACACCAAACATGCAAACAACTGGCTGTTCCACGGGGAGGCCGCTCATAAGTCTATCAATGATAAAACCAAGTGGATATGCAGGCGTCCCGAGGAGATGAAGGGTTCCCCTGAAGCAGTTCAGGAGTTTTTCTTAATTCAACCCATCACATCAACGGTCTTCACAGCCTTGAGCCTCCTTACACAAGACAAACAGAAGATAGACGCCTGGAGAAAACTGAGATGGGAGTGGTCAGACGTCTGCATCTACCCCTGGCAGCCGAAAAAGCAGACCCCGACGATGAAGAGGGAACAACTAATGAGGGATTTCTTCTGGGTCGAACTCCGACATATCCCGGTAGAAGTGCAGGCAACTTTTGTTTATGAATTCGGACAACAATTCAACATCGTTGACTTTATTGACCC